ATAACAACTTATTCATTGATCATAAAGATAAGAAAAAATAGAAAAGAGACTGAAGAACCTGTACATGTACACTTCATTTTCCCCACATTTTGAACTTTTGATCTTCTGTTTTGCATCTTTCTATGTGGCTTCTTAACATATTAATGTCATTATTTTTAATTGTTTTGTTTTCAGTCTTTGTACTAAAGATCAAGAAGGTTTATATACCGTGCTTACAATATTAGGTAATTCTGAATTTGCCTTTTATGGTGAGTTTTATACCTTTCCTTTGTCATACCTTAAGGAACACATCTGGCAGTGATAATCTCTCAGCTTATTTGTCTGGAAATATCTTTATCTCTGTTTCATGTGTGAATCAAACAGTATTTGTTAGCATGTTTCTTTTCCCTCTCAGCATGTGAAAATTCCATCCTATTACCTTCTGCCCTGTAAGGTTTCTACCAAGAAGTCTATTGTTAGGCAGTTGGAACACTCTTCTGCATATTTTTTTCCTGTCTTCTTTCTGCTTGGAGAATCCTCTGTTTGTAGATTACCTTTGAAAGCTTGGTTATAATATGTCTTGGAACAGACTTGAGTGAGTTGAATCTGATGGTGACCTTTGACCTTCATATACCTAGGTATTTGTATCTTTTTCAGATTTTGGAAGTCTTCTGTTATTATCTCTTTCAATAAGTTTTCTACCCCTTTGCATTTTTTAAGTACCTTTTGAACCTTAATAACCCAAATATTTGTTCTTTTAAGGTTATGATATTCCTACAGTCTTTCTTAATTCTGCTTCATTCTTTCTTCTTTTTCTCCTCCAACAGTATATCTGTGTATTTCAAATTTAGTGGTTTTTTTTCCTTGAGCTTACTGATTCATGTGTTTGATCTATTAATCACATTTTTTTATTCCAATTAGTGAACTTTTCTGCTCAAGGAATTGTTTTTTCTGGATTTACTTGAAATTCATCGAGTTTCTTTAAAATATCTATTTTAAATTCTCTGAGAGTTCATACCCATCGGTTGCTTTGTGGCCAGTTATTGGCACCTTGTTTTGTCTGTTAAGCATGGTCATGGTTCTCTGGGAATTCTTGATGCTTGTTGGCAGACAAGAATGTTTGCAGTTAGACGGGTTGGTTAGGTATTTATTCTAGTCTTCATTAACTGGATTTGTTTGTGCTTGTCTTTTTAGAAATTCTAAGCAGGCTGCTTATTTGAGCCTGTGATTATTTACTCTCTTTCAGCACCAATGTCCTAGGTTTCCCAGAAACCCATAGTTGACACATTGTCAGTGTGTCAGCACTAAAGGCACTTCAGGCCCAAGTTGATCACATTCACCATTGTGTTGCTCAGAATGGCCTGAAGGAATGTCTAAATAGGGTAGTTCATTCCTGCAAGTTTCTCCCTAGAGCCAAGGTGAGCCCAGACACCCTGTTCACTGTCATTGGCCTGTGGTTAGATGCCACAGGTTCTGCCTGATACTGGGCAGGCACTGGCCATAGGCTCCTTTGCCACTTGGTAATTACTTAACTTCTTCTTCCCCAAACAGATAAGGCTAAGTTGTGCTGCTTGGGATTGAGTGAGGAATGGAGTAGGCAGTCCTGTAGTCATTGATGTCGCCATGCTTGTGTTAAACCTGGAGTCTATAGGACCAGTGCAGCATAGGATCCAGGGCCATGCTTCTGTGCCCTGTGTGCCACTGCAGTATCAGCTCGAGGCTACTGCAATCAGCCAGTGATGATGTTGGCCAGAATACATGTCCCACCATGGCCTGAGGTCTCTCACACTAGGACAAACTCAGAGGCTTTGTTTATAGGTATTTTCCTGAGTCTGAGGATGGTTGGAGTCTGCCTGCCACTTGGATTTCACCAGCTGGGCATGAGTTCTAAGGCAAAGCCTTTTTCTTACTTCCCTGTCTTACCCTATAAAGGGGGAGTATTCTTCCCATACAGTACTGCCTGAAGCTAAGGGAGGATGGTGGAAACAGTCCTTTGCTGCCAGACTAACCTAGGTCCAGAGGCTGTGTCTGTGAGCACTGGCCAGGGGCCAAGGGCCCTGGGGCTCTGAAGAGCTGGATTTCACATTGGCAGTTCTAGTACTGGGTTCAAAACCTAAGGCTTAGATGTAATTTCTTCCCCTTCCCTCAACTGGATGAGTGTCTTTCCACATAGTCTCTCTCCACTGCTTGAAGATGGAGGAGGGAGTCCCTGAAAATTTTTCCTTTCTGCATTCTTCAATGCTTCTTTTCCTATTATTATGCTAAATCCAGGGCTTGCAATTTCTTACCTGGTTTCGCTAGTTCTTGCAAAGGTATTTTTTTTGTGTGGATAGCTTCCAAGTGATGCTTTTCTGGGAGATGTTATTCTGTTATCATCCTCCTCCTCTTTAGTATGGACATTTGTTAAACTAGAAGGCAGTAGTAAGGTATGTGTTAATATAGCACCCTGCAAACATCTTGGGGTTCTTAACAAGTAAAATATATCAAAATAGGTAGTTCTGTGATATTAGCCATTTATATAATGGGGCACTATTACAAAAAATGATGTAATAGTGCCCCATTATAATTAAAGCATTATTTCATTAACCCCTAAAGTATTCATTATTTTAAAAACATAAACTCTCCTTTTTTTTCTCTTTTCTGTAAACTTGAAATTCCATTTTTGTTAGATGGTTCTTCTATCATTTAGTTGTTCCCATTGCTTCTTTTCGTCTTTAGTCTTTATTACTAGCAACAATGATATAATATTGATGTTAGTTCTGTGATTACTTTTTTAAAGTTTTAAAATATGAATATTCAAAGATTTAAAGACGCAGTTTAGAAACTTCAGCTGTATTTCTACTCAGTTTTAGAAAGATATCATCTATCTTAAAAGTTGTCCTTGGAATCAAAACTCCTACTTTTCTGCAGGAAAACAGACTAAATGTTTATAAAATAATAGCTTTCATTTGTGAAATTAAAATCTGTTATTCTCTGAGGAGAACAACTGTTGTTGAAGACACAAATGATATATCCAAAATAGTATATTAAGGATCATAAGTTGCTTTGCTATTGTGATTTTCTACTAGTTTCATTAAATGGGATTTGGCTCATGAAGTTACAAAATGAAACTTTTCTTTTTCTCCACACTCCGTTTAGAGGAGTTGTTTTCAAATGATTAGAGGATGCAGGATGTAAATGATCACCACCTGATATTCTTCTTTATTACACAAAGCCTGTGGTTACTAAACACTTGTTTTACTGACTATTAGGTGGATAAAGTACTGTCCCCTTTTCGAAAGAGCTTCCCGGTAATGATCTCTTGCATCTAGAGTCGGAGACTGGAGGTGTGTTCTCTTCTGGCTAAACTCAAGTACTTTTAAAATTTTTACAGTTCTAAAACAGCAAGTCATTATTCATAGCCTGACCAGATTTGAAGAAAGAAGATTTGGTAAATTAAGGATTTAGAAGTGGGCAACAGTCATTGCCGTTCTTGGCTTCCAGGAGATAAATAACAGTGCTCAGTGAGCTGTCTTTATTCTTAGAATGATGGGATCAAAAAACTTATAGCCAGTGGCATACTGACATGAGTTTCATAACTCCAGGCACCTCCAAAATTTTATTTTAGCTTTTAATTCCAACTCTGATTATCTCCCAAAACTTCTAAAAATGGAGCATTTTAATTTGTCTCCACTCCATATATTTCTGATGTGCTGTCAAAAATATTTATAACCAGAGAAGTATTCCAAAAGCTGGGAGCAGTCAGGAGTAAGAAGAAGCCTGCATTTCTAAGCTAGATCATCAGTCCCTGGAACAATTTAAATGCATTAGGCTTTTTTTCAGGAGGATGAGGCTGGAGGTTAACTTTAATCCTAAGGCTAGAATTTCTAAGGTAAAATTATAACTTTGGATCATCTGATTCATTATTACATATTTTAACCACCCTCATGCTTTGTTAGGTTGACCAGTATGGTACATGCGTACAAAATCATGTTTATCACATGGAAGGTAACATTTCCTAAGTGAATACCAGGAGCCAGGTGCTCTCTTTAGGCATTAACCCATGTAAATTTTAAAAATCATCTCTTAAATATTTTTGGGATATTTGTTTTATTTCCTTCATTCTTCTTTTTCAGCTCTTCTTTATGCAACTATTTTTGGAAATGTCACCACAATTTTTCAGCAAATGTATGCCAACACCAACCGATACCACGAGATGCTGAATAATGTTCGGGACTTTCTGAAGCTCTATCAGGTCCCCAAAGGCCTTAGTGAACGAGTCATGGATTATATTGTTTCAACATGGTCCATGTCAAAAGGAATTGACACAGAAAAGGTTTGGTTTATTATTGTTGTTGTTATTAGTATTCTATTTAAAAGGAGCTTTGATGAATATAACTTTCCTATCCACAGGTTGTTTTGTAGATGATACTCTGTGTTTTGTGACATTTTAATCCATCATATTTATTTTGATAACTTTAAAGGAACAGAGGACTCAACTATTAATCATTAATTCGTTTTAATGATGATACTTAATTTATGAAATTTGTTTCCTGAAAACAACTAATTATTCCATTTCACTAAAATGCTCTTATTACCACTCAATGTAATTTGCTTCATTCCTCTTTAACTCTCAGAGTGCTGTCATTTCTGCTGCTAGATTTTACTCTGATTTCTTCTTTGGCTTTTTTGTCCATTTAAAAATTATTAACATCTCTGCTATAAACAAAGAAAAAAAATGATGTTTTTGTCCATGCTACCCTCCAATTATTATTTTTTTCCTTTGCAGATGTTGTATAAAGTAAGTTGAAAGTTTTTATTTTCCACTTTGGTTTACAAGAGATGCCTCCCTTTAAACAAGGGGTGGCTCCCTATCCAATCATCTGACAACTGTAATTTCTTAATTGTCTTTTCATGGAACTGCTTTTAATTTTTTCTGTTGACTTCATATTTGGGCAAACAAGGACCCAAAGTTCTCCTTATAATAAACAAAATAATTTTTAAAAATTCTCACTTCCTATACCTAGCTGATTCACATCAAACATTGGGCATGACAAATACAATATGTGTGTAATTTTAGAGGATGCCCACTTGAGCTATTTAACTTTACAAATTTTAGTGAAGACTTCCTGTTAGGTACTGATTTTTTAACATGTGATAGTCAATAACTTCCTGGCCATTTTCTTCAAATTACTTTTGTATTGTTGTTGTTGTTTTTAAACCACATGGGGTTAACTTGTGTCCCTGCCACCCCAAGACCTGTGCAATAAGCTTTTTTTTTTTTTAAACATAGAAGAGAAAGCACTTTGACTACAGTAGATGTTTAGTTAGGGGAATTTTGTAAAACAAGTAGTTTTAAGCTAGAGCAGGTGTTGTTAGGAACAAGTAGTTGAGGGGAAGATTGGGGAGTGGATATGGAATGTAACAGTTGAGGCAGAGGCACCTTCAGAAGGAGTGCATGTAGGAGATAATCAGGGGTAGTTATAGGAAGGAATTGAGGAATCGTTGATCTAATCTTCTTTCAACCCCTTTCAAGATGCAATATAGAATTTCTAGTTAAATGGTCATATAGTAGTATTCATGACTATGGAGGGAAAAGCAGCATTTCTTTGACATTTGATTAATATATACCTGAGCCAATATATGAAAAGTCTTCAGAGGAGAAAGAAGATCTTCATCAGAATGAGGATGAGAGAAATAGAGTTCAAGTTATCCAATGCAGGAGGTCCTTTGAAGTCTGCATTAAGTTAAACAGATCCAGAGGCAACCCCTGCCTTGTTAATCACTATCTTAGTGAGATGTTTTTTTTTTCCAGAAAACACAACGGGGTCCCATGGTAGCTAACAGAAAACATCAATGAAATGATGTCATCATGACCTTTTGCGTATTAAAAAAGGACTTGGCCTAGGGCCTATGCTTACAAGGCAGATTTTGTTCTCTGTATTCCCAGATATTGGGGTGGTTCAGAAATGGAGCTGACTATTTTCTCTCAATGCCTGCCTTTGAGGACATGCTCACCTGTCTGATTCACATGTAGTTAGGGTGTCATGCACTGACATGGACTGTGTCTGCAGGTGCCTGTGCCATGGGACAGAAAACAATTTCTAAGTCTAATATCAAAGGTAAAATAAAAATCTAATTAAAATGACATATTTTTGAAGACATATTTAAAATATTAAATGGATTAGCCTTTGTTTTAGAAAATATCTCGAGTGGTAATTCCTTACGGTTATATTTTTCTTTTTCTCTTTTTGCCTACTTAAAAAATTAACATCTAATAATTATACATGATTATGGGATACAGTGTGACAATTCAATACATCTGTACAATGTGTATTGATTAGCATTTTCATTTCTTTGTGTTTAAAACCATGAATATGTTCTTTTCTGGTTATTCATAAAATATATATAGTGGGCTATTGTGAACTTTCACTGCCCTACTGTGTGTGGAATAGTAGAACTTATTCCCTCTGTCTAACTGCGCTTGTGATCTGAAAAGGCAATTCTCAGAAGAAAAATACAAATGGTCAATAGATATATGAAAAAATGCTCAATGTCATTAGCTGTCAGGAGAATGCAAATCAAACCTATAGGGAGATATCTTCTCACCCTGGTTAGAATGGCTGTTATCAAAAAAAAAAAAAGTAACAAATGATAATAAAGATGTGGTGAAAAGGGAAATCTTATACACTGTTGGTGGGCATGTAAATTAGCATAGCTATTATGGAGAGCACTATGGAGTTTCCTCCAAAAATTAAAAACCGATCTACCATAGGATATTATATATAAACCACTTCTGGATACATATGATATGAAACCAAAGCAATATAATAAAGAGATATTTGCACTGCATGTTTATTGCAAGACTATCCACAATAGCCAAGACATGGAATCATTGTAGGTGTACATGCACAGATGAATGAGAAAGAAGATGTAGCATCTGTATACAATATAGGATATTATCCACTCACAAAAATTTATATCTTGTCATGTGCAAAAAATAAACTGGAGGACATGATATTAAGTGAAATGAGGCAAATTTGAATTTAAAAGTAGTGAGTACTAGAAGATGTGGGAGAGGGGAAGGGAACATGGTTAGAGGGAGATTGGATAACAGGTACCACAAAACACTTACATTTTTTTTTTTTTTTTAACCAATAAGAAAAGCAGATTTAAGTAACTGTGACAAATATAAAAGTTTTATTATATGTATATAAAACACATTCCATGATTATTGATTTTTATATTTTATGTATGAAGAAAATTTCTACCCAGATGCATAAAAGCTAGTGTAATAGCACTGTACGTGGAGAGAAGAAAGAAAAGACATTGCTTTGATCCTGCAGTTGGGGTGTAGGAGTTCCTAGTAATTACACCCTCAATGACACTGAATTTAAAAATGATATTCAGACTGCACACTATATGCTATATGGAACAAGAAGGGGAAAAAATTGACATCCAACTCTCTGATTTAGTGGGCAACTAACAACAGAGCAGAAGACTCGCATGTCTGTTAGATATTCAGTAATTGAACAAGTATATAGTATATATAATATATAACTTTACAATAATAAAGTGTTAAGGTTATAAACAAAGTAATTAGAAACAAAACAAAGAGAATAAATATCTAAGACTAGACCTAACTCTAGATGAGACATGAATATAAATTAAAAGACAAACAGCAAAGCTATAATTGATACATTATGTAATATGATTATAAAATGAACTACAAATCTTATATTTATAAACATCTTCCTCATAGCCTAACATAAATATCAGAACTAAAAGTCAAATGTAAAAAATAAGAAACAATTAACTGTTAAATATGCAGATATATTTGACATATTTTTATACATGTTAAAGTAATGCATAACAATGTAACTGATAAAGAGGTTTGACTCACAAAATGTGAAACCTCTCACATTAGAAAACCAGGAAAATAAAAATGAGATAAAGGATTTGCAGCAAGTATCACAAGTGAAAGATTCATTATCTTAATATGTAAAGTGATTTTATAAATTAATAAGAATTAGATCACTTGGGAAGAAAAAATGAGAAAAAGATACAAATAATTTGTAAAGACAAAAATTAATAAACATACAAAAGTATTTTCATTTGTAACAGTAAAAATTAAAATATCAAGAAACCATTTTAATGTCAAATGGACCAAGATAATGTCCAGTCTTAGCAAAGGCTATTGTGACTGTCTCTGTATTTATTATATAACTCTAGAAGGTGGAGTATTTCTTTCTTTCTTTTTTTCTTTTT